GGGCCTTACGTGTGCTGTTTAGTGATGTAACAGCCAACTTATATCCGTGTGCAAAAATCAAAATTATGCTAATTTTAATCGAGAAAAATACGAAGCGGTCTCTGCTTTCCGAATAACATAGCTGTGTATTCAGCCTTCATATGAGGCTGGTTTCCAAAATAGGAGAATTCTCTGCACTTCGCTCTTGACTTAAAATATTTCCGGTACAAATGTGGCATAAATTACTTACAAGATAATTAGTATGAGATTTTATATAATTGATCAACCTTTTTATACAACACAACTTCAGTTTCGTTCATTATTGCTTTACAGACTACAGCAGGTAGATCACCTGAAAGCCCATTGGTGGCGTGGCGTTATACAGCTGTACTCTGACTGAGACCGCTGTATTAGCATTGCATGGTAATAAAGTTGGAACGTATCAATGATGAATAATAACATTCAAAACTGGAAAAAAAACACTGGATCCATATGGATATATAATTAATTGTTAATATCTTGCAAAATACCTTTGTTTCGTGTTGAAAACTGTATTCTTCTGCCCAGACAATTACGGTGTATGAATAAAACTTCCTTGTTACTGCACATTGAACAAACAGCTATATCAGATTGACTGACTGGTAGAAACATGAAATGGGTAGGCGGGGCTTGTATTTGGAGTTTCTAGCCTATTGGAATATATTGCTATAACCTTGGCGTCTTGGCAATACCACATCACGTAATACAAACATGAAGTGATAATGTATAGATGAGTCGTTTAGACGGACTGCTGTGTATATCTAGTAGATAGTTATATTGCTTTCTTACCAAAGTATATCTATTTTTTTTTCAAAATAAAGGATTTCATACCTAATCAAGGAAATGAATGATAAAATATACACACATTTCCACGTAGCGGCAAAGCTATAACCAACACAGTTCACGCCTCTATGTGAATATCAACAATCACCGGAGTTTTATTTTAACATCTCAGTGTTTTATTTATTTATTTTTCTTCATTTACTTATCTATAAGTTTATCGTTCTATATGATTCGTTCGTTCGTATATATATATATATATATCGAGAGAGAGAGAGAGAGAGAGAGAGAGAGAGAGAGAGAGAGAGAGAGAGAGAGAGAGAGAGAGAGAGAGAGAGAGAGAGAGGAGGGAGAGAGGGAGGGAGGGAGGGAGGGAGAGAGAGAGCAATTTAAAAGGCATATGTACAGTTTACGACTGACATTTGTAATCATTGGTGTGAATATGTACTGACCGATTCACTTACAGTGAATGAAACAACTAAGGGTCAAAGATAGTTTTTGGCCTGTAATTAAAGGCAGTGCCTGCAATACATTGGCACTCTGTATGAAATCAAAGTACAAAACAATTTAGCAATAGTGAGAGATCAAAGCACTGATTGTACTGATTTCCAAAATAATGCCGTATAACGTTTATTTTGAACTGTACCGAAAAAAAAGTTGAATTTTTGGAAAACATTACTTCTTGTTATCAATAATAAGTGTCCACAGGACCACAGGAGGTTTTTAAGGAAATTTCACGATTGTTTGAAAATATTACATTGAATTCTTAGGTTTTTTTTACATGATTGACCCCTGTGACCTTGAAAGTGGGTCAAGGTCATCCATATTAACAACAATTATAGACAATTACATTAGCTTGATATGTATGAGATATCAAGTCTCTAGGTCTTTCCAAACTTGAGAAGAAATTTCGTAAACGTTGGCACCCTACATTGAAGATTTGAAATTTGACCCCTAAGGAATTTGGTCTTTTGTGGAAGTTTTGTTTATACTAATCAAAAGCAAGTCTCTACAGAAGGTCGCTAATCAAATCACGTAACTGTTTTCCTCTTAAAAAGTAAGAAAACGTCATTCATTGATATTAATATAATTTACCCCCGTGACATAGAAAGTGAGTCAATGTCATCTATATTAACAAACCTAATAGACAATTACTTTGGCATTATGTGTGTGAAATATCTTTCCAAACTTGAGAAGAAGTTTCTGGCAGTTCAACTGAGTGATCAGGCCTTTGTATTTTACCTGTAGCATGTTGGAATAACATGCCAATTACCTAATTCTATGGCCATTTAAATAAATAATTTTGGGTACCCAGCATGTCTCGTGCCGTGGCAGTTGGCATTCACATAATGGTATGGATTTAAGTTTTAATGGATCACATAGGCCACATTGCAAGGTTACAAAGGACAGTTGCTTTTTAAATGACCTTGATTTTTAGGCTAAACGTACTCAGTACGAATAGCCTATTGCGACGGCCTTTCAGACAAAATTTACCGATCCTGGCCTTCTCATTGGCTGAAATATCGAAAAGCGTTAGAGCCCTCTAGCGGCAATTTATTTTCTGTGTAAATAATGCCGCGATCTTTCAAATCGCTATTTTAAAAGCATCCACATTTACTTTTTTTAAACAAACAATACGATTACTATATATTTAAAACAAAGAAGCACAGTGTGATTGAACTATTGGTAAATTTTGAACAATATATTTTACGGAATTTGCTCACGGACATCCCCGACCTCTGCTGCTGAAGAAGATCGAGCTGACGTGATTCTTATCGCCTGCTGTGAATATTCCTAGAAAACAACAATATTTACCTTAAGTAAGCAAAAAATGGTTTCTTGTATCTTCAAAGTTTATTGTAACTGCATGACTTGATTTACAGTGTATTTACTGTATGGCGGGGCTTATGAATCCTTCTCAACATGACGTAAGCGTACAGAACAATGTATGTGCGAGTTGGCGCCATGATAAGATGCTAGTCTTGGGCTTGGTTTGAATTATCAACTAACAGCACTTATAAACAAACAAAACTAACAAACAGAACATCAATTTTAATTTAATCCTTGTCGTTGTGGCGAGATCGTCTTAACATATAACATCACTTTACCTCATTAGACGTCACAAAATTAGACTGTTCGTCCTACGGGCACACCTGCCGATAAGACACTTTTTCAGGATTTTCACACCCACCGCCGTGACACTTTTTCAAGTTTTTGAAGACAAAAAGTTTGCGCTTCGTAGGCAAGGTACATTTGGTGCTAATGATTTATGACTAATATATTTTTAATACTGTACTGATCATGATGTTGACTTTGTTATGACTCATATTTTTTGTCTTTTAGTTTTATTTGATGAAGGTTGATTGTGCTGATTTCTCAAGGTTTGTTAATGTGTTTCAAAGTTCCTTGAAATGAAAATATTCCTTCAAACAAAGCGCGTATAAAACAACACCCAAAATATTCATGTTTATAATTTTCAATTAACTAGAATGAAATATTTCCTTAACATATTTATTCATTTTGCGTGTCATGGTGACATTATCTAATGCATTGGAGATCAGAAATAGTAGTAGCTATAGTGAAAATATTGTAAATTTTGTATATATATGGAAGTCTGGTTTAATCTCATAGAACTATGTCTTTATAGATATAATTACTGGAAGAAAAGTCTAACCATGACACTTCAAGGAAGATAGGCATGTAAATACATTAAATGTAATTATTTACACTTTTATCTATCTGAAATGCTGTGTACACCTTATCTACTTTCCTCAACCACAAATATAATTATAATAAGTAAGGACTATTACTTTGCAATACATTTGAAATAAAGAAGTAGGTATAAAGTTCTTTCGATTTGTCTAAATCCTCATATTGATTGGATAGTAATTGTAACATCTTGGGTATTTCAAAGGTTTTATTTAGTCAACTTCATCATAGAGCTATTTATCATTTGGCTTGTTGGCGATAAATGTATGGTTGGTTGTGTGTATTTTTACCTATTTTGATTTGTTCACATTATTGGCGTCAATTTTGAAATAAGAATTAAAGAATCAAAAATCGCTTAAAATTAAGAAAAATAGCCTCTGGTTCTCTTATTTTAGTAATTTTTGCATTCCAAAGTGTAGGAGTATGGGGAAAGTAATATAGCATAGCGATTATTTGTAAACATTTCCTACTACGTTTAGCCTCTCAGTACTGTCAGTGCTTTGATTTTATATGGCACAGAATGTCAGAATTGATCACAACAATAAAAATCACTGTTCGATTTTAGGACTATGTAAATTCGAGTAAGGCAGACGGTGCGAAACCGTTGAGAGTCCCTCGATTCAGGGAATTAGCATATACGCCACTTTAAAATAAATTGGCCTATCGACAACTCAAAGATAACCAAGCCTACCGAAAATCAAGGGAGGCTACTCTCACCATCTCCGACAAACAAAATGTCGTCTGCATTAAACGTCATTCCCGATGATATCGGACTTAACTATACTTCTGACGTATCATTGAAGAAAAAAATAAAAGCGAACGGTTTCGTGTCTGGGTCGTACTTTCAACGAGTGTCCTTCCAAACAATAGACGATGATACAGTTGAAGTTAGTGGCCATGAACCACTATCCACAATGAAAGAGCAGTTTACAACATCAAAGCTTTTTATGAAGAAACATACTGAATTACCTTTGGTAAGGCCTTTTTATAGTAAGCTTGCAATATTTTGGACCGGGCCCATATATATTATTATACCAAAAGTGACATACGTGTACATGCGTAAATAAAACTGAAATGCACAACATACAAAACTACGCGTCATGTCGCCACCATAGAAATATATTTGTGTTGGTGACCTATTTAACATCCTGGATTCCCGCTCTTCGGTTGATAGACGAGAGATCAGAAGCTATAAATCTCTTTTCAAATTTGAAAACGACCCCATAGCTGAAAGGAAAACTCCTCTTTTCCAAATCGCTTTTATTTTCTCTCTGAAAATGTCACCATTAGTGGATAACCAAAAATTGTCAGTATCAAACACATTTTAAATGAATCCAGTTGTTTGATCCCAACTTATCTTAAGATACTTGGTTTGAAGAAGTCCCATTTTATATTACAATGTACATGGCAATTGCTACTACAGGCCAACAATTATTGAGACTTCATGTTTTCATTTTCATTCGAACTCGCCTTAAATCAAACATGGCCGACAGTGTCACACTCGGCGTTCAAAATTTCACATTATGACGGCTCAGAGCTTTTTCGGATTCCATACGAAGGTGTTAGTTTGATACTGATAGTGCACGCATTTGTACATTCACATACATATTCTAAACGAACCCGGTACCCGCAAAATATACTTCAAATGACATGTCACATCAATCGGACCAGCTTCTTCATCTTCTGGAGGAATTTAAAGCTCCATCAATAGTGATGATTATGCTCTGTTATGCGCTAGGGTATGACGGGAGAGGGTTTTTTTAACAACGGTTTTTATTAATGTATTTATTATTCAGTTATTTTGGAGAGTATAATTATTAGGTATAAATGCTATTGTGGTGTGTTAGGGCTTCATCAAAGTATAGACTACGTAGTAAATATGTGCCCTGCAGTTCTCGTATCTTTAGGTAATCCCATTAGGAATTCCGCCTTTGTATTGATTTATATCGGATGTTTGTTATTTCCCGTGAGCTGTGCGCAAGGGCATGTTATACTGTTCCCCGTATGGCGTATAAATATAGGGTAGGATCTATATTGTCGAGGAGATTTAGATTCTACCTTGGATATATCTAACCAGGCCCCACTTGTATAAAATATCTCAATTTCAGATTTCCTCAAGCCCAGATTTTCCTCAGCTAATATCTTCTTGAAAACATCTTGTATGAAAATTCCGCAAGGAATTTCAGGAAATCCTAGCCGATGCCTTCCTCCTGTTCCTTGAGAAAATTTTATACAAGCCGTTTTTGAGGAGATATCAGCTTAGGAAAATCTCGACTTGAGGAAATCTCAAGTAGAGATGTTTTATACAAGTGGAGCCTGGTTTGTTGTTTCGGAATGTAAGAGTTTGTGAAGTTTTGAATACATGTCGCCTTTCTAGCCTAGTGGGCTAGTGGAAATTTCCTAGTTGAGTGTCCAGCTGGAAACCAACATTACAACGTATTTAATTTCATGATTATATATGACTTGTGAACAAAAAATTCAAGTAAGGTTGTCTACTCTCTTTACATCTCATCAACTAATCTGCTTGTCATACTGGTTCATGAGAAGTTTTTGCAAAGATCTTTTATTACAATTTATCAAGATTGTTAATGGATGCAGGCTTACAGCCTCTATGTCCTTATCAGATACTTTTAAAAATTAAAGTGTACATTATTTCAGGTATGATATTACGGGTTATCAGTTCAATGGTAATATTACCATTTTTCCAGATAAGATAAGTTAACATGCAATTATATTTACCATTTTGATTGATGAAATACTGTCATAAATCATTTGTACCATAGAAACATACATTAAAGTGATAGAAGAGTTCATACGCACGTGTATTGTTTTTTTTCAGAATCAGTCAGCTTTGACTAAGGTTAATATCTGAATATGATATTATTGAACAACCCAGTCCACACAAGATTCGAACCAGATATACCATATTGAAATACCTGCAGATGAAATCTTCCAACTAACCATGGTGTTCAACTATCCTGAGCGGTTTCTTGAAAGTCTTTACTGTTTGTGGGAGGATGAAGTATTTTGTGATATCCGTATCCAAGTGGGAAATCAAACATTTCAGGCCCATCGCATCGTGTTGTCAGCAGGATGTGACTACTTCAAGGCCATGTTTGAATGTGGGCTGATGGAGCGAAATGCTGACTGTATAGAAATCCATGATATGGATCCACTTGTGTTTAGCAAGCTTCTCAATTTTATATACACAGGTAAGTACATGCATCTGTTAAAATCTTGTCCCGATAATGAAGTCCATACAGGTAGTTTACTAAAGCTACAGTACATGATCAGTATTGCAATATCTTCCTGTTTTTATTTGCCTACAGAACCTTATATCTCTTGAAGATTGTACTTTGTTTAGGTTGTTTATGTGATCACCAGCCAGAACAAAGGTTTTATGATAATACATGTACATACTGAATAAAGAAACTTCAAAAGGAAAGAGCCAATGTCAGGTGTAAGTAAATGGGTGTTAAGGAGGTACTTTGCAGGTAGCATTCTTGACTTTGTCATTTCAGCCTAAATAAACCATATTTTGACCTTACAGCACCAAGACAGTTGGTGAATCAACATAATTAATGAACTATTCTCTTTTTTTTTCACTAACAGGAAAGGTTGACATAAAAGAAGACAACTGTCAGGATGTCCTTGCTGCAGCAAATATGTTTGGACTTCAGGAGATAATTGCCATTTGTTGTGTTTTTCTGAAACAGAAGCTTCACCGTGAAAACTGTCTTGGTATGAAAGATTTACATAACTCAGAAACAAAATAAAATTTCAATCACAAATTAGCATTTCTCCAGACCAAAACACTCCATAGATTCCCTGGAACTTTAGATTAAAATCTGTGGACATGTAATAAATTATATGGCTTACACTCTATAATAAATCTTTTGCATTATTTTTTTGCATTTATTGCTCCATGGATAGCCACAATCGTTTAGGGTAGGGGAACACATTGTAGTGACAATTGACTACTTCAGTGAACAACATATAAAGAAGGCCTGCTGCGTTTTGATTTCTGTTTTAGAAGTACAATATCAATACTTACTTTTAAGACCAATTTAAGGTAATAACTTGATTTTTTTAATTTTCTCCTTTCATTGCAGGTATTTACCAATTTGCTGAGACACATGCTTGTGAGGAACTGAAGGTGGATGCTGAGAAATTTATCAATAATCACTTTCTACACTTGTCAAAGGAAGAGGAATTTTCAGGTCTACCAGTTGATTTACTTATTAAGCTTTTGAAAAGTGAGTACCTTTGTATAGAAGATGAACACCAGGTCTTGCAGGCAGGGCTCAACTGGGTCCTTCATGATCCCTCCAGTCGCAGGAAACATATATTTGATATTCTCCATCAGGTACGAATCCCAATTATTCCAGAAAAACAGCTATTGGACATACTGGACAGTTGCAGTGATCTTAGTACAAAAGTTGTTATCCAAAAATTTGTACAAGATTTTCATTTAGAGAGACAAATTTCGTTGAAGTTGCATCAAAACAGGATTAAACCTCACATGCTTAACCCAAGGAAATGTGCTAGGAAGAACATCTATGTTATAGGGGGAAATAAACAGTCTGATGAATGGAGATGGAGTGATGGTGTTACCGTGCCAACTGTAGAAAGATTTGATACACTCACCATGGACTGGACAAGTATGAGTGACATGCAATTTCCAAGGAGTAGTCATGGTGCTGTGGTTTTGAATGGACAGATATATGTAGTAGGTGGAGAAAATGATTCATTGATCTGTGATAATGTAGAATGTTATGACCCAGCTAGTAACAAGTGGAGTTCTCTCCCTTGCTTAAACTATCCACGATGTGGTCTTGGCCTTTGTGTGTCTAATGATTGTATTTATGCATTTGGAGGATGGGTCGGAGAAGAACTAGGTGACAGTGTGGAAAAGTATGACCCTGAGACCAATCAATGGACTATTGACTGTATTATGCCAACTCCAAGACATGCCATGGGTGTTCTGGAATGTGGAGGTACCAAATTATCTTGTATAATGATAATCATTCACTTTTGAGTCTATAGAAAAAATATTGATCTGAGTGGCAATCTGTTCGTTCTTTGTGAAAGTTTTGTAAAAGATATTTCATGAACTCTTCAGCAAATTTATTTCATACATTAACACATTTATATTATTTTATCGCACATCAAAATCTAGACTTTAAAGCAACACGCATGATCACTTTGGAAATATAATCATAGTTTAGTGTAGAGATTTCTAGTTTAACACCTGACAAGATGAGATGTTGGAATGCATGTGTCAAGGTTATAAAATCAAACGTCACACTAGCTGGAAACTGAAAGTATGTATACAGAATATCTACTGAACCTCAACATAATTGATATTTAACCCAAAGTATTGGAGCAAAACGTTTGGTGATCATTGGTCAAGGACAAAAGGTCAGACAAGAATTTTGCAATGAATAAAAACACAAATACATGATTTACTGATTTTGGATGTAGGAGTTTATCTAGACTATGATACATACATATATGTAATCTATCAGAAATTTATAATTGAAGGTGTTTGTGACATATACTGGAAAATAATAAAATTGGAAACACTTCTGAGTAGTAAAGAAAAAGTCCTTTCATATTAAATCAGAAACCTTACAATAAGATTCAGTAGGCCTATTCATTATGAGACATCTGAAGATTTGATATGAAAGGGATTTATATTACCAGTAAAAATACACATACATTTGTATATGATAAATGAAGAATAATGACAGTACGGACAAATACATCGTCAAATTTTGGAGGCATTTGTCATAACTGTCATTGTTATGTCATTGACCTTATAAATGTTTAAACTTTTACAATGTCATGAAATACACATACATACTTTTCCATTTTATAAAAACCAACTATAATTACTTGACCTTTAGACATAAAACTTCCCCCGTAATACAATAGACACAATTATTTACAACATATGATAATTACAACAATCACACCCGTACTCGTTCTCCCTCTCAATCATTGATGATGAATAATGTATATCCAAATGGGTTACTAAATAATTTATCAACACTAAATGTATCTGAAGTCACAAGCTTCAACAGGCATTTCTGCCACACATAGATATGTAGCCTCCTCAACAGCCTGGTTCATTCATAGACTAGGCAGTCTCAAATGCTCTCATGTAATAATATTGAAGTTGACAATGAAACCACTATTAGTCACAAAGGCCAATAACAGATATGACACACTAATAGATCTCTGTTAAACAGGCATATTATATGACACATTCACGTTTAACACTATTATAGAACTTGTCATGGATTTCACATAAAGCACTCAGCTGTTTGAGTTTTCAACTAATTTTATCATTATTTTTTTTTAATTTCAGAATATTTTATTGTCAAGATTTTGATGACAAATGGAATTGAGCAACAGGCATAACCTATGAAAACCCTTCCCATGAACATAAACATAAACATAAACAAGTATTCTGACACATCAATAAAAAAGTCAATAAATTATAGAATGATATTAAACATTGAGACTTGAACATTAGAATCTAGAATATACTTTAAAATGAATAAATAAATTAGTTAAATGAAAAAAGGAAACACAGCCATCAGTTAACATTAATTAGTGAAAATTTCCTTTTTAATTGTGTCAAGATTGAGTAGAAATGTCCCCTTAAATGGAGATAGGCACTGACTCAAACTCTCCATACACTCTCACAATCCTGTGCCCAGTCCATAAAGGTTCCAGTTGATGATAAGACATCCACTTTCATTTGCCAATCTCTCTGTTCACCTGTTCACATATGCATAACTTACCTAATGGCAACTACATACTTCATTGAAAAAGAGAGCATTATTCAAATAACCCTACTTACAATTATTGCAATGGTATGTGATATTCTGTAGAAGCATACAATTTTCAGAGAAGCTAGTAACAAATGTGGATAAGCTACAACAGGTGTATTTTTAAGAGATGTAAACAAAACTGTAATTCTAGCTCAAACTTGGAAAAGTAGGGACAAAATATCAACAAAAGGAAGATTTCATAAAGACCCTTTAAAAATGCAATAAGTAAGGTCATATCCAGGTTGTCAAAAAACCAACAAGCATGATACAACTGCAGGTGTAATAAAAAGCATCAAACAACAGCAAGCATCATGATAATTAATGAGCATCAAATAACAGCAGGCGTAACAACAAGCATCAAACAACAGCTAACAGACTAATGTGCAATTAACAATAGTATATTTCCTAATGAGGTCAGTGAGGGAAGATAATTTGTTTTTTTAGTGACAACCAACAAAAAAATGAATGTAAATTAAACATATTTAGTGATATGAAATTGACACCATACTAAGGCGTTACATACCAATAAGAAGATATGATCTTGGTGTATTGCATGAACTTGCATTCACTCCTAACTTGTCAGTGGTTAAACATTTTATTCATATATTTTTCAAATATATATCGATCATTCTCAAATTTCATATATGTCCCCTTGTTGTGCCTGTGTGATTTTGGGACTGACCAGAAAAAGAAAATGGCTGTGGGGCCATATTGGATTTAGCAGTTATAAGTTATCATTATTATTGTTTCTTAAGATGAATTTTCAAATTTCATATAATGAAAAGCAAAAACAGAAAAAAGAAGGGAAAAGATCACAGTTTATATAAAAAAAAATACATTAAGATCACCAAGATCTCTTGCTATTCTGTTCCAGGTCTGATTTATCTGATTGGAGGTTTGGACGCAGATGAAACTGACTTGACCTCAGTAGACAGTTTTAACCCTGTAACTAAGGAGTGGCAACAGCTGCCAAGCCTCAAGGTCGAGAGGTCCCATCTGGGCGTGGCTTCTTTGGATGGTATCCTTTATGCCATTGGGGGATTAAACCACTCTGAGGGTGACCTCATGTCTGCAGAAAGATATATACTTGACTCTGTAAGTACATCTTAGAATTATGATAAAGGTCCATTCTAATGATCTAGCCATAAGCTCATGTCATGTTATAAGCCCAATATCTATCACAGGTTTATCAGAAATCTAGACAGATGCTATACCATTGCAGCATTTAATGGTTACACAACACACACACCCTTTCAAGTGAATGTGTTTTACAAGTCAGTTTTGCCGCAGTTTGATCTCTATGACAACCTTCTCATTGTGTTTGGCTGGTAAAAATCATAACTGTCACTGTTAAGGGTTAAGTATTAGAAGGTCTTTGTAGTGGAAATTTGTTAAAAGTGATTGGATGTGCCCACTTTAAATGCAAACTATTAAAACTGATCCTATGTTTATAAATTTGTTGCTACTACACTGGTTCTTTGTTTTTTCTTTCCTCAGGATGGCTGGGAAGAGATTGCTCCTCTGTCAGACAAACGATCAGCTCCTTGTATGGCCGCGGTAAATGGTCATCTCTATGTGATTGGTGGACAAAAGTGGACAGACCGGTTTTCAAATTATAGACATTACTGCAGTAATCCTGTTACACTGGACAGTATGGAATGTTATGATCCCAAAAACAATGTCTGGTCAAAGTTGCCCTATATGCCCATGGACCGTTGTAGGGCAGCTGCTGTGGTCCTTTAACCTAACCTTTACTGGCAGTGGGTCTTTAGCCTCACTGTACTGTCAGTGTTCTTTAGCCTCACTGTTACTGGCAGTGGGTCTTTAGCCTCACTGTTACTGGCAAGGGGTCTTTGGCCTTACTGTCACTGGCAGTGGGTCTTTAGCCTCACTGTTACTGGCAAGGGGTCTTTGGCCTTACTGTCACTGGCAGTTGGTCTTTAGCCTCACTATTACTAGCAGTCTTCTATAGCCTCACTGTTACTGGCAGTGGGTCTTTAGCCTCACTATTACTAGCAGTCTTCTATAGCCTCACTGTTACTGGCAGTGGGTCTTTAGCCTCACTGTTACTGGCAGTGGGTCTTTAGCCTCACTGTTACTGGCAAGGGGTCTTTAGCCTCACTGTTACTGGCAGTGGGTCTTTAGCCTCACTGTTACTGGCAGTGGGTCTTTAGCCTCAATGTCACTGGCAGTGGGTCTTTAGCCTCACTGTTACTGGCAAGGGGTCTTTGGCCTTACTGTCACTGGCAGTGGGTCTTTAGCCTCACTGTTACTGGCAGTGGGTCTTTAGCCTCACTGTTACTAGCAGTGGGACTTTAGCCTCACTGTCACTGGCAGTGGGACTTTAGCCTCACTGTCACTGGCAGTGGGTCTTTAGCCTCACTGTTACTAGCAGTGGTCTTTAGCCTCACTGTTACTGGCAGTGGGTCTTTAGCCTGACTGTTACTAGCAGTGGGACTTTAGCCTCACTGTTACTGGTAGTGGATTTTTAGTCTTACTGTTACTGGCAGTGGGACTTTAGCCTCACTGTTATTGGCAAGGGGTCTTTGGCCTTACTGTCACTGGCAGTGGGCCTTTATCCTCACTGTCACTGGCAGTGGGTCTTTAGCCTCACTGTTACTGGCAGTGGTCTTTAGCCTCACTGTTACTGGCAGTGGGTCTTTAGCCTGACTGTTACTGGCAGTGGGTCTTTAGCCTGACTGTTACTAGCAGTGGGTCTTTAGTCTTACTGTGACTGGCAGTGGGACTTTAGCCTTACTGTCACTGGCAGTGGGACTTTAGCCTCACTGTTACTGGCAGTGGGACTAGTCTTGCTGTTACTGGCAGTGGGACTTTAGTCTTACTGTTACTGGCAGTGGGTCTTTAGCCTGACTGTTACTAGCAGTGGGTCTTTAGTCTTACTGTTACTGGCAGTGGGACTTTAGCCTTACTGTTACTGGCAGTGGGACTTTAACCTCACTGTTACTGGCAGTGGGACTAGTCTTACTGTTACTGGCAGTGGGACTTTAGTCTTACTGTTACTGGCAGTGGGTCTTTAGCCTGACTGTTACTAGCAGTGGGTCTTTAGTCTTACTGTTACTGGCAGTGGGACTTTAGCCTTACTGTCACTGGCAGTGGGACTTTAGCCTCACTGTTACTGGCAGTGGGACTAGTCTTACTGTTACTGGCAGTGGGACTTTAGTCTTACTGTTACTGGCAGTGGGTCTTTAGCCTGACTGTTACTAGCAGTGGGTCTTTAGTCTTACTGTTACTGGCAGTGGGACTTTAGCCTTACTGTTACTGGCAGTGGGACTTTAACCTCACTGTTACTGGCAGTGGGACTAGTCTTACTGTTACTGGCAGTGGGACTTTAGTCTTACTGTTACTGGCAGTGGGTCCTTAGCCTCACTGTTACTGGCAGTGGTTCTTAAGCCTCATTGTTACAGGTGGTGGTTTTTAGCCTTACTGTTTTATGGGAGGGCGGTTGTAGTTCTTTATAGCCTTACTGTTATTGGCATTGACTGTTTTGTAGGAGAGTGATTGTAGTTCCTCTAATAACCTCATTGTTCCTGGCACTGGTTCTTTGGGAGAGCTTAGCACATAGTGCTGCTTTTGGTGCTTGTATTGGTTTGGAGCAATGCTTTGGTAAGATTTGGTGCTTGTTACCAGAAAAGGTTTCGTAGAGTTCACCATTAGTTAACAGACAAGCTTCTGTAATATTTGTTAATGGTCTGCTGTTGACAGTATTGTAAAGTCTGTACCTAAATGAGCTTTTATTTCTCAGCAGAAATGTTTTGCTGGTAATGTAGTAAGTATGAGAAAATTTGGTGTATATGAACACACATGATGTATATACACAACATAATTTATATGAACAATCTAGTCAGGTGTATTAACACTATATATATATAATGTGGACACAAATAATTAAGAGATAATCAGTAAATATTTATAAGGGTGTTAAGTCTTATGAAAAACAAAATTTCTATACACATACATAAGTTTAAAACAGATAATGCATTTTTATCAACAAATTTGATGCCTTTAATAGTCCTTATGACATGGTCATTTGGCAACTCTTTAAGCATTTATTTTGTCATCTTTTTTGGTGAATGTTCGGATCTAGTTGCTAGTACGGGAAATCATTTGCATTTTTGCTCGAGTTACTATAACTGATTTATGTGTGTTATAGCAACACATAGGAAAATAAGTTGTAACCAGTGCCCTGATATAACATTTCATGAATGTTGTTAATGAAAGAAAACTTAATTATGAGACTGTGTTAAATCCCTACTAAACCTATAAGTGCTCTTCTGATGCTCTTTATGTGATGGCATTGTTACATGTGTGTTTGGATATTTATGCTATTGTGTTTGGTCATCAATGGTGCAAAATAAAATTCTGAAAAGTAAATTTGATTTGATATATTTATGTTCTCTTAAATGGTCATGATTGAGAGAATTTACTATTGTAGTCATGTTGATTTGAAATTTCATATATCCACGGTTTTCTGTATTTTTAGTTAATTTTACAAAATAGTCATAGGAGTTTGAATATTTTATAAACTTGGTTTTCTGATCCATACTGAGGTATTTTTCTTTAAGATGACTTCTAACAGCTTTGCCTATCAAGCCCATGACTTTACAAATTCTAGACTGTTCTGAGGACGGCATACCTAGTGTGCCGAAACTAGTCAACTAATAAAGTTACAGAAGATCTTCATTGGCGTTGTCTGGTCCTGCTTACCGATTTTTTAAATTCTAGATTTGTTTTTATTATATATGGAAAAGGTAATAATGAGTCAAATTGTTAAGAGGCTTGATGTTTTAAGGATGAAACATACTGGGGCCATAGTGGACAAGACTGGTTTCATTGGTTACAATGCCTCCAGGTCACTGGCAGACAATCTTGGGGCTCCTGGAGTAGAAATTAGAACACCATGTCAAAAGCTTGATAGACCTTGCAGAAAGTATGTTCAAGTACTTACCCAAACCACCAGGAATTCATGGTGCAGTGTCACTTTTCAACAACACACCCACAGACAAAACACTCGGTATCATTGAGGTCCGCCTAGAGCAAGACCGATCATGGCCAAAGAACACCAATCTCCATATCCAAGACATCATGGGTTTTTTTTCAGAATTGGTGCTTACAACAACATACGTTTTCTTCAGAAATATCGTCTATCAGCAACGGACTGGCAGCCCATGTCTCCGATTTTATTCATGGAGCTATTGGTGAAAGAGGCAATAGCCACGGGCCCCGATAGAATAAAACCCTAGTCTGTAGAAACAATATGTTGATGACAATGATAGTACTATGCTGTGTCTTGAAACCATAAAAAAATGACGGTACTACCAAAGAATTAGTTTACACGAAAAAGACATACACAGACCAATATCCAAACTTTCAACACCACACCCCTTTAACAGAAGTTGGACGTTGTACGAACTTTACTCGGTAGATGTGAAATGATTGTCACAGAAGAACACGACAAGAATCAAGAATAATACCTCATCCATAGGGACATGAAAACATGTGGATACCCTGACTGGACATGCCAGAAAGTTATCAACAAATTTGGGGAAAGCAAATAAAAGCCTGGGAGATGAAACATTATGGAAAAGAAAAAAAATGAAAGGACAGGTAGTCACGACTGCCAGAAACCATTCAGATGATTGATCATGGTCACTGTATTTCAACTCTCCGAAAGGGCCTAGTCCATTCTTAGGATAAAACATCCACAGAAACCTTCCCAGAATGTATATACAAAATTGGGTGCAAGAACTGTTAGGCGTCTTATATTGGAGAAAATGGGTAGGAACTTTGGAGTCCGACTTCAACGAATATCAAAAAGATGTGGAATCTCGAGAAGACAAAAGGTTCCACCAGATCAGTGTTGGGAAAATTCCAAAACAGTCGACAGGGAAATCAGTTTTTTTCCAAGGAGGCTCTCTGGGTACAATTCAGCGTGTAAAACTACCAAATAGAGACAAAATGCATGGACCTCATACTTTCGCACATCTATGACCAAGCGTTTAACAAAGCGACTACGGTACATTGTTACCATCTTCTGTACATTTTTGTAATATGTTACCATCTCGTCACACTATTTTATACCTTTGTGCACATAGGATTATAGGACAGCCGAAACATATCATTACCATGTCCTACATTACTCATATTAGTGCTAGTACGTTTTACATAGGTAATTTATCTGATAAAGGTGACAGTGAAGTCATCTAAAGCCACACTTTAATTTTCTACTGGTCGTGTTACGAGAACATCTGTGCTATAAAATATAACTAGTTTTAAAGATATGTTTGGAGTATGAAAGTAATCTATCGACAGACACTGCAAAGGACAATAACTTTTGGAAATATATTTTGAATAAAAATGCTTTTCGAGCGAACACAACACTATGTTGTGATTTTTCAAGACTAGCAAGTTTCAAAGAAATTGATGATTAAAAACTAGGGAGAAGACATGAACTTTTGAACAGTATAAAAAGTATTACAATTCTTTTCATGACATGATTTTGCTGATGTGGTTTTGCTGTGGTGCACCTTCCCTTACAAGAAACCATAATTCTCATTCGTTCTTTATATCTTTATTTGAGGACATCACATTGCATATCACGTCATGAAGCTATGACGTCACCATGGACACAGTGTGAAACTTTGAACACTCGATCATAGCTCCACTTGGTCGTACCAGGGACGTATATAACACGTAGTATACATCCCTGGCCCCACTTGTATAAAACATCTCAACTTGAGATTTCCTCAAGTCAAGATTTTCCTCAGCTAATATCTCCTTGAAAATATCTTGTATGAAAATTCCTCAAGGAATTTCAGGACATCCTAGCCGAGGACTTCCTCCTGTTCCCTGAGAAAATTTAATACAAGCCGTTTTTGAGGAGATATCAGCAGAGGAAAATCTCGACTTGAGGAAATCTCAAGTTGAGATGTTTTATACAAGTGGGGCGTCATGTAGTATTACGCTTGTTTAATGTAGTGTGATAAAAAGGTATTTTATCTTTTTTTTTTGAAATAAAAATAATAATAACACCATTTTAAAGAAATACGCAAGATGCCGTGCAGACCAATGCATAAATGATTGTCAAGTACATTGCACCACACATAGGATTGGAATATTGGTCCACGTTTTTTCTTCACCTACAAGAAAACTTGATTACCAGTGATTTCCTCAGTGTCTTGGGGATGTTCTTTTAATGTACGAAATCTTCAAAATCAGCTGCTTGCTGGTATGGAGTGGTGAATTCTATGGTATCCATTTGTTAACATTATCAGTTCGTAAAAGCTATTTAAAAGAATTATTGAGATATGATGTAAAATGTATTTAAAAGTATGTTCTTAACTGAAAACTACCAAACGCATCAAGGCCAGGACGAATAATAATCTTAAACATTAAATTCAAATTGAAATTAAATTTAAACTGTCGTAATCTTAAAAAAAAAGAAGATTATTTTTGTTTGTTTGAATGTAAATGGAAGAGCCGCCAGGTTTGTTTACAAAATCGCACCTCTCTTCCGGACTATTGATGACCCGATTTACGTATATTATAGTAGAATATATTCAGTAACTTCCGGTTCGTTTCAAAACGATTTTGTTTTGCCATGTGCATCTTTATTCCCAATAGGTAAGGTTGTTTAACATAGTTTATTAGATATGAATTGTTTAACCGTATTATTTAGTCGTAAGATTATGTAAAGACACATATCATACAACTTGACTAAAAAATGGTGACTGGTCGAAAGTGAAAACTAAAGAAAGACAACATCAATACCCGGTGTTCTTCGTAGGACTACACAGTATCACACAATCTTAATGTTGTTAGAGCGATAACATTGCAGCTAATTCTTAACAATATGAAAATTAACAAGAGTTGTAGATTAAATTTCCCAGATTACTTCGTGAATGCAGCATGTACATATATATAATGTTTGCTGGATAATCTATCGACTACGGTTATATCATTGCTGTCAACTCTTCCTTGATGTACGTTTATCTTTTGGAGTTGTATTGTATTGCACGTTTAAGATGGGTCATGTGCACAGTATACAGAGTTTTGGCACATGTCATCATACAATGTTCATTCATGCACATCTGCGCTGTTTTGCCAACCATTAACCATATAATCCTTTTTTGTGATAAGAGAATATAATAGACAATCATGAAAAGTTGTATTGGGGTAAAACAAATTCACGTGGAAACCTTTCATGTTGTCATATTGTACATGAAATTGGTATCGCGCCATAGAGAGGATGATCAATAATGAAATCTGTGGTTGACCCTTCCAGTGCGAATTGTATTACGGTACATGTGTCATAATAATCTCTAAAAAGACCCAACCATGAAATCAGGATTTGTAAAGTGAATGTAGTTGTGAAATAGAGTCGAAATTAACCCTTACAACAATTGTACCATTTTACAATATATATGAACCAGATATTTATCATGCAACTGCAAGAACGCTTTTTGGATGCATTGTTAATCCAGCAGAAACACTACAATTAAAGTTATGATTAACTATTTGAATATTTAGAATGCAAAATGATAAGTGAAATATGAAAAATTCATTTTCAGGAATAGAGCACACATTCTGTCATGAGTACTGCACAGGTTCCATCAAAGGGTCCCACTAAAGGACCTAAAAAGGGATCTTTGACAGTAGAGGAAATACAGGTGGACAACATCACTCAGGTAAGAATTATGTTTCAAGTGAAAAAAAAAAAAATCAGACAGGTATCACCATAACTGATGAGTTTATATGGCGCATAAATAGCTTAATAAGTATGTCAATAACATCATTGCTACTTAACAACATTGCACAGGTATGGACAAATACGGGCAACAAAAATAAGGAAAACAGGTAAAAAATGTATAATGGGTAAGAAAATTGAAATGAACTGTGTAGGTTAGGGTGATGCTTGGTGCAATATAGTGAACACTACTTCAATTTAGTGTCATGACTGGGATGTGCCTCATACACAAGTACTCTTTATATGTCAATATTCATGATAACTTGATTGATAAAGAGTTTAAATAACCATTGAAAAATACTAATAATGCAAACAGTGATGAAAATGGGACAAAAAGAGGAAAGTATGATAAGTGATTGTCATATGTACTTTTAGCAATCATGGTAATTTTAGAATGTCTGTGTTGATTAAAGGATTTTTATTTTGTTGAACAGTTGGCCCGACAACATTGGTCCCAGGAAGCATTGAAGAATGGTGTAAACTTCAACCCTCAGGTAAGTATTAGGAAGACAAAGCAAAGGTTTTGTAACTTCTTCATGTAGAGAGAGAGAGAGAGAGAGAGAGAGAGAGAGAGAGAGAGAGAGAGAGAGAGAGAGAGAGAGAGAGAGAGAGAGAGAGAGAGAGAGAGAGAGAGAGAGAGAGAGAGAGAGAGAGAGAGAGAGAGAGAGAGAGAGAGAGAGAGAGAGAGAGAGAGAGAGAGAGAGAGAGAGAGAGAGAGAGAGAGAGAGAGAGAGAGAGAGAGAGAGAGAGAGAGAGAGAGAGAGAGAGAGAGAGAGAGAGAGAGAGAGAGAGAGAGAGAGAGAGAGAGAGAGAGAGAGAGAGAGAGAGAGAGAGAGAGAGAGAGAGAGAGAGAGAGAGAGAGAGAGAGAGAGAGAGAGAGAGAGAGTGCTTTTCTATAGTTTTTGTTGATATAAAATATCAAGTTTCATTTCATTTTATAAATTATGCTGATTCCAAGTGATCTATGTCGGCATTTAAAAACAATTTTTTTCTTACAGATAGTGGCAGATATCTACAGAGAGGAACTTCAAGGAACAGGGTAAGTATTTGATCTGTTTGAAATAGCAAACACTAATTCACAAATTAAATATAACAATTAGCATAAAGTAGAGTTTATTTTTTCATCACTGCTGCACATGTTCAATCAGTTGAAGGTGCATGATTACTACAAACTAAAACAAAAACATGTTGGCATTTTGACTTATATTTGTGAAATTTTATTTGCAGGTTTTCTGTAAGAAGAACAATGATGCTAGAATTCAGGTAAGAGTATTGTATACATAAAGGGCATTTTATATACAATATTCAAAAGAAAAACATATTCTCCAAGTGTTAGAAAGTTTTTTCCATGAAATATTGCTGTATAGGTATTCTATTTGTTATTGATTTATTACTTATACATGAATAGAAACCTTTATTTCGTGATAATAACAATTTTTCTTTTGTGTATTTTAGTCAATACCTTGAAAACTACTTGTGGCCAAACTACAGTCCTGACAAGGTGAGAATTGAAAGACAATTTTTTGACCAAAATCTTTGTTATCTATTTCTTAAGCTTACTCCAATAGTAAATAACCTACAATTATAAGATGATGAGAATTTAAAGACAAATGTTTTCCACCATATTCTTTGTCGTCAAGTTCTTAAACTTTGTACATGTAGTAAATAACTTAAACAATTATAAGATGAAGATGATTTAAAGATAAATGCTTTCCTCTGAAAACCATATCTCATCAGATTGCCTTACATAAAGTCATATTGGTTCTAGGTATGACATTTCAGGGACCACCTCCACCGAGGTTAATTTTCCCTGTCCTTGATCCATATTATTATCACCCTGTCATATAAAATGATGTTCAATGTACAGAACTACTTGTTTTGTGCTCGAAGTATTCAATGCTGTTTTAGTGTACCAGTTGGAACCATCCAACTTTTGCAGAATATTTCGGGACAAAATAAACATCTGAGATGTTAGTCAGCTCAGTAATTAACTGAAAATGCATCAAGTTCTTTGTCAAATTTGTCTATACATTACATCTTCCATTCTAATGATGTAGGTAATTTAATATTTCTTGACTGAAGTTAGGCATGTTGTTGACACCTCAGTCAGCAAATATCATGTACAAGCCAAAGTTCAAATCTGTGCCTTTTGTTTTACTTTCTTCAACATTTTTAGTCATCATATAACAGCTGCCCTGCGTCAATGCAGCTATCTTGTATATCTTATAACTGCTTCTGATATGGAGTTACGCCCTTTGTTAATTTTTTCTCAGACCAAGGTTTGTGAGGTGGTATGGGGCTATTGATTGCTGGAAATGCTTGATGTTTTTATTTTTACAATATATATATATGTAATTATTTGCAGTCCAACAATGCACATATCACATCTACAGCTCTTATGGTGAATGAGAAATTCAGAGAGAGAGTTCCGCCATGGGAGGTAAGACAAAAAAAAATAAATTTGGTAGTCAATCAACTCCAAATTGAGAAGGAATTAAAATATGATTTCATGTTTCCATTGAAAGGAGTATTACCTGAGAAGCCAAGATTTTGAAAGGACACTATGTTAGAATGATTTTCTCAAAAGAAAAGTGTACCTTTTATGTTGCATGTTTCAGTTTATAACAACAAATTTGGTTAACCCCTCGTGCTGTAGTTATTTAAATTTTTTGTTCATATCAACCTGTTTCCTACTTTAGTTTTGTTCAATATTTTCAAGAGATCCATTTATATTAGATCAGGACATCAGTGTATTACCGACACATATAGATATATACATACAAAACTTGCCTAGAAAATTTTTGGTTTTGGCATTGATATCCTTACACTCGGGTCACTTTCAAGTAAGTGATTGAAATGGTTGGGCCAGTTGAACCTGGAAGAAAAACACTAGCTATAAATCGGGATTGAGACTTGACTGCAGAATATTTGGCACTAGCAGTTTAAGGGGTCCAGTTGTACCTGTCTGAAACTAATTTGCTGAATATCGTTAGTTTTCAGAATTTCAGCACATATTTCCGTGAGCATTGTGCTATAAAGTATGTGTGAAATGCATGGTATCTTATTTTAGCTCATTATGCTAGACAGGAGATTCTTAAAATGCTCATTTTGAGCTCTACATATATCAGTTCCAACATCCAGTACATGTGCGTTTGTGTACCATGGAATAATTCCAGACCACCTGAACTGTTTCAACAGGGTTTCAACAAGCTGACCTAGGTTTTAAGGATTGCACCTTGTAATTGCATTGTTTGACACTCAGCATTTAGGACATTATTTTTTTTGCCAGGAAAAGAAGGAACTATATTTCAATAGTTCCAATTAAACATATGGTTAGTAACCATGGTAATTTCTCATTGAAGTTGGTGCTTCATAATTATCTGATTTTACGGGGATATAATAGTTTTTATAAATCATGAAATTACCTATCAAGAAAGTAAAGGAGAGAAAGTAATACCATCAAATTTGATATTAACACTTTCACCTGTTATAAAATGAAGATAATGTGACTATTTTGTTACAGATACCACACTTGAATTTCTTGTCCAGATTGACAAATATGTTACTATTATTTCAGTGTTTCAGAGCCAAACCAGAAAACTTTGAGGAGTTTTTTCATCAAGTATTGAATGTGTGCCTGGCTGAACACACATCCCTACTGGAACATACACACTTACTCATGTTCCTAATTCACTGCTTCAACAGTCTGGTGAGTTCAACTTATCATCTATGATTAATTCTCTGTCTTATCTCCTAGAATTGACAAAGGAGTGTAGACATTGTTGTTTCTCTGTTACAAACACTATTTCTGCCATTTTGTGCTTTCATCACTAAAAGTTGACAACGGAGTGTAGATATTGTTGTTTATCTGTATTGCATCTAGTGGTAGACAAAGTTTCAAACTTTCAGTCAATGAATAAGAATTTCTTGAGACATAACATAAACATGTTTTGAATATGAGGCAGCAATTGGGATGGAGAGAATAGGAATCCCATTCTGATTAACAGATTGTTTTTAAAGTGAATATAAGAGTGCCGGAATCAATATAGTTCACATGTAGATGATTACTTTGGTCCCTGTGGTAGGTTTCGTCTTGCCAGATAGATAATGTCCCCCAATGTTATAGCACTTAATTGTGATGGAAACATTGACTTTTACCAATATTTCAATGCTCATGAAGAGTTTCAAACTAAAATCTTATGGAGGGATTTGTAATTTGGTAAAAAATAATCCAAACTCCCATATAATGTCCCTTTAAATATACCAGTAACATGCTGTGTGCATGATTTACATACAGAATTATGTATTATCAGGAATAAGTGTTGAACTTCACTTACAATAGAATATTCACTCTCATGCAAGTCCAAGGACATAATCAAATTAAGAAAAAACCTGGAAAATTGAGGTTTTCTTGTATTTTCCATGTATCTCAAAATAAGCCAAGGATCAGGGTTAGGCTTTTTATTTCATTAAGGACAATGTAACTTAGTAGCTTGGTGGAGAGCTTAGAAAAGACAAAAATGTGTTTGACACTGAGAAGTGGGACCTATAACATATCTCTTACTTTCCCTTTCCTCTTCTTCATTTTGCTTGTAGTGGTGTTGCTAAGGGCACTTGAGGTAGTGTTTTAGGTATATTATTATCATGCATATGTAATATCATACATGTCCAACATTTCACTGAGATGATGATGTATTAGGTTATCATCTGTGGCCAGTGTTGTCTTAGAATCATTTGTAATGTAACATAATGGTTTTGTTTTAGCTCTTCATGTTTACTAGGCTGAATAGGATTAGTCATTTAGTCAGGGCAAGTCATTTTGTAACCATTCTCATTGTTATTACATACATATTTTTTCACAGGAAATGGACCTGATTCGAGAACAAGTCCAGAAGTTGGTGTCTCTACCAATATGGGTTAACCTTCTACCAGTATGTATTTTTGTGCTGTGTTTTCAGATCTTTGTGTAATGAAATATGAAAGAAAGATAGCAGGAATAACCTGGATTGTAAGGCCATTGTAGCATTAGGTCAAGGTCATAAATTACATCCTGATTACATGATACTGTTGTAATGAAATTTTGACTGCTGGATTGGCTGAGCTTTGGTTTCACTTTTCATTATAAGAAAAGTAACTTTTTCAATTTGTCTATGATCCTTGTAGATATATTTCATTATTTTACAGTTACTTTGGATATAAACTGGCTTTTAATGGTAATGTTTTGATTTATGTACATGTGACTAAAAGACTAATGTTGAAGGTCATTTGTAGAGGTCAGATCAAATGATACAAGTTTTTTGACACTTCATAGTTTGATAATAAATGTGCTTTTTACATTTAAGATTGTCGTACAATGTTTTTTTTTGTGTGTTTCAGGGAAGAAGAGAAGAACTGTTCAAAACAAATGCTAAATACAAGAAATTTTACAACCTCATACAGAAAAATGATGCTAAAGTTGGTGCAGAAAAGTTAAAAAGACTACAGTTTGAGCGGAACTTCATGTCTAATTTGATGAAAAAGTTCTTTAATATCTTGGACTCAATAACAGAATCAGGTATTAATAATTTATCAGTTCAGATGTGTTGTGTAACAGTACATAAAATTCGTATATATTCAAACTGCTTGTGCTGAAAAGCCAGTGAAATTCTGTTAGCTTAAAATTTTAACTTTATTGTAGTCACAATCAGAAGTACCATATTATATGCAGCTTAAGTTTTGGATAAAATATATGATTTTGTTCACTTTCATGTGTAATTACCCACAATTTTCAAATTTGTAATGTGTGTGGCAGTACTTTGTGCCTCAACTGTGTTTACCTGGAGGTTAACTTCAATATAATGTGGTTTGATAGAGTTAAACTTTGGGAAGTTTTATAAAATTAGTTGATTATTTCTGATGTTTTCAAAACTTGTTTTAACATCAATAGTCTGAAATTTAGATTTGATATAGCATTTACCACTTTGTCCATTAAAACAGGAACAGAATCATGGGTGGTGTGTTCTACTTTTACAGGAAAGTTAGCCCATACTAAAGTACAGTATTGTGAACGCTTTATGGAACTTATGATTGACATTGAGAGCCAACTACCCACACGACGATTCTTCAATGCCCTAATGGACGATGTCCACCTAGTAGTCAGGTGCCAGATGTCCATGTTGGTCAAAAGAAAGGAAGGAAAACTGTTTGGTGAGGTAAGCTGTGAACTCGCTATTATAACCTTTAAGAATCTAACACAGGTAGTTACAGAACCTTTTATATTTAATCAATTGTCTTGGAATGCAGTCATTTGTTGATAGAAACAACTTTTCCAAATCATCTGCAAGACCTTAAATTTGACGATGGATAGCTAGTCAAAGTATTTAGAAATGAGTTATATCTGTTTTATAAAGTCTAAAGTGAAGATCTTTTTTTATATAAACAAATACCTTAATCATTTTGTTGTGTGGATGTAAGTAAGATCTCTGCAGTTTGAAATAAATCATGAAACGAGGAAAGTTTCTAATGAGTCAACAAAAGACAGGATATGATATGATGTATTTCTACTTTGTATCAAATATGATGATAAGCAGATGATAATTTCACTTCAACAAAGAATGTTTTCAATTTTATCTGAACTGTAATATATGTCAACTTTCAAATTTTGTAATGTCTTTGGCTAGCTCCTTGAGATGCTGCAACGGTATGCTGAGTTTGAGATTGATGACCAGACAGGAGAAGCTCTAACAATCCATGACAGAATAGACCTCCATTACAATAGGGTGCTAGCTCTACAGGTAATCACATACAAAACTCAAATTGGTGAGCAGAGTTTTTTAAACTTTAAAAATTAACAAATCTGAAAAAACCAGATTTGGATAAAAGAAAATTTTGTGAAAATCTATCAGAAGATTTACTTCATAGAATGATACTTTTGAATGAGAGCCTGAAATATGTCTCCACACATTCAGAACTGTACAGACTTCATGATTGGCTGACATGGATGAAAGTTTCATGCACACATTTTGTTTTTGTATAAAATCAACTTGATTATTGAGCTGTCGTCATAATTTTGTCAGATTTTTGTTTTTGTTTGAATTTTGTTTTCTGGGGAAGGTCTGCTTTCTAAACATAAGATAGGAATATGTTATTGAAGGAAGAAGGCAGACTTGTTCAGAAAATTGTATTACACAATATAAAAACTATATCCTAAGGTTTTAAGTGTGAATCCAACAAAGTTTTTTTAAATATGGAAATTGATTAATGAATTGTAAAAGTGTTTGATTAACGTAGTTTTTAATAATGATGTATTTTGGGGCTTATCTCTTTTTTTGTATAAGGTTGTAGTTGTACTATGTATTAAGATTTTAATGATTAAAATAAGTTTGGCTATATTACTTGTTAATTGAGCCAATCTCAAATTCTTGTCCTAGCTATTGCAGGTATTATCATGATCAGTAAAGGCCTGATGTAAATTGCACTTGCTGAGCTTCATTTATCCAACAACAGACTGGAAACACTGAAAGGAATATAATGTAGTGTTTTATGTTATGAGGACTGAAAATCATTTTGAAAAATCCTTAGTGTATTTCAATGCTGTAGGTTTTACAATGCAGCCAGATTAGATTTGCTATTTATCAGTGGCTTCAATAGGTTAATAGGTAGAACCTTTGATTGACTGTACCACCTAAGGTGATGGTTCAGGCTGTGTGGTTTTGTCTGTAACCAGGTGGTTTTGTGTCTCAGGAAGTTGAGAGGACAACCGTCTTTTGCAGTTGTACACATGTCCTTAGTCAAGATAACCTGGTTTGTTCTGGATGACATGTGAAGGGCCTTCCCTATGTTGTTCAGTGAGATAGTCACTGGTTACTGCAACAAGACCCTATCTCAAAGTGATTATAGCAATATACCCAGTACACAAAGTTGAAAACAGATAAAAAATATTATTTTGGATGTCTTTTTATTTTTGGAGTATTAATGTATAAAAATGTTGATGGTTAAGCCCTGTGTTTTGTTTGAATTGTAGAAAGTTGCCTTTCGATACTTCTCAGATGACCTGCGAAGTTTTGCCATTTCCAATGTTGCAAGTGTAGACAGCAGAGAATCCTTGTTGAAATTCTTCAAATGTTTAAGGTACTTTGTGATGAATGTAAATCTTTTAATTAAGCCATTCTTAGATTATTTGTGATTAAGAACCAACGATGTCATCACTAGATGAAACTTTTCCTGATTATGACTATATCAAGTGCCAAGGAACCAATTTATTGAGCTCCATCATTAGCTATAATGGCTATAGTTGCTTGGGAATTTAGTAGTATTCCGGTTATATCTTGTAATTAAAACACCATTTTCAAAGAAAAGAATTCTAATTCCATCTTGAAAGGAAACTAGGTGTACGGCACTAGGTGTAGGGCAACGAGAGTGTGAAATATGTTTATAAATCTGCATTGTGTTACAGAGAGGAGTTTTATGTTGTCTAAATCCCCTACTGACTGCATTTGTTTATTTTCTCTATCTTAAACTTACAGCAAATCAGACCTACACAGAGTCCTGGCCTACATACACCAGCTACCGATGATTAAAGAGGAAGAAGAGTCGACACAGAAAGAGGATTACATGATGGAGCTGTTGGTATGTGATATAATAATAATACTGATTTACTCATTGAGGGGTACTATCAATACTGTTTTTTTTCTGAGCTTGATTTAATTGCAAATGAAAAAAAATACACGATGTTATGACTTATTTAAAGCTGTAATTAATGTACCATGATTTAAACATAACCAACACAAAGTCTTGAAATGAACAACTAAATTAAACATGAAAATATGTGAGTTGGAGATGTGAATTATGAATAATTGCATGAGGGGAGTTTTAGAATAAACATAAAGGTTTATGTGAAGGGGTTGGATTATTAATAAAAGATAAATATATGGGTGAGTGTGATGTCTTCTCAGTTTCTTTATGTTTTCTTTGGTAAATGTTTCTATGTTTCTGTGTTTCATACTACAAACATTTGATCACAGTAAGTATCTCCATCCATATATTAAATCTGTCAGGTCACTCGTCATGAGAAGAGAAGATCCCAGCTTGAACAGATCAATGAAATGCCACTGTATCCTACAGAAGACATTATTTGGGACGAGAACATCGTACCAACAGACTTTTACTCTGGGGACAGTAAGTATGAATCAACCACCGACCAGCAGATCTGGATTAAAGTTGACACTGAAATTTCTTCTGTAAAGAGATAAGACTGATGGAAATATGTCATTGAGAATATTATCATATTGTTCTGTTTTATATCCCCCATATTTTTACCTTTTCTTTCTATCTGTGATCTTGGTTATTCAAGATTTACTGTATACATTTGAAATGCTAATGAAAATAAAAAATAAAAAAAAAATTAGTTGTTTTCTAAATTGTTTCAATGTGACAGCAAAGACTGCTTTTATGATATACGACGATTACTTCTAAAATTGATTTTTTTTTTTCAGGTTGTCTTGCTCTGCCAAAGCTCAATCTGCAGTTTCTGACATTACATGATTATTTGCTCAAGAATTTTCATCTGTTCAGATTGGAATCTACATGTAAGAAATTTTATTGTAAAACAAAGTGTCATTTTTGTTGATGGAAAAGTCTTTAAAATGAAAAGATTGAAGGAGTGAAACACATTTCTTCATGCTAGGTTGGACAGATACACTAGGTATAGTAAATGCAGAATTGGAACCTAACAGACCAGCAATCGTTTCTCCGTTCAGACCAGATATATGTAATCTGAAACCTGAAAAATGATACATTCCTCCATCTTTACAGATGTAAAGTATCCTTAAATTTTACCTTATTTCTATTACAGATGAAATTCGACAAGACATTGAAGATGCTGTGTCTCACTTAAAGCCATGGTAAGGTTGGATGGTGAATTCTTTAGTAAAGTGTTTTAGTTATACTGAAATAATGTTGATTAGATTTCACATTTCTTTAGAACTGAAATATCTGTGAGCTTTTTGCCAGAAACGTTCCTTTACTAGGATAAATAAGATACCCGTTCACTAGATTTCTATCCTGTTACCGGTTAGTGTCGTCGTTGTTGAAGTGACATGTAGTTACTGTATAAGTAAAAATTAACAGGAAGGCAGAGGATGGCAGCTGTCTGTTTGGTGGATGGGCACGAATGGCACAGCCAATATCAGGCTTTAATGTTGTGGAGGTAAGTTATACTCTTGTGGTATGTGGTAGTATCTGACTCTGTGTTGGAATAATTATATAATGGCCCCACTCTTTTAGAAATTCAGGCAGTTATATTTTAGTTCAATGTTTTGAATTTTTAATTGATAACACAAATTTCTTTAATGTCAAATGTATGTATTCGACATTTGCTGCATATATTTATCTTAACGGTCTTAACTGCACTAAGACTAAGAATTTAGACTTTTACATTAAGATTCCCAACAAAAAATATTAGATATCTTTCAAATGTAGATTTATTACATTGCAAGTCTTTGACTGTCTTTGATCTTTAGGTGGCAAAGCCTCTAATTGGAGAGAATCATCCAGCCCAGGTACGAGCAGATGTCACCGTCAGTCTCAGTGTGAGGGAACATGTTAAGAACGAGTGGGAAGGTAGGTTACTTCTACCAGGGTTTAGAAACATTTAAAATGTTCTTTTGATATTGGTAATAAATGTAACATTTCTGTAGAGTATTACTTTTTCTTTGAGTTCTTTCTCTTTTCAATATTTGGAAATTTCAAGTGAAAACAAAAATACCTATTTCATATACTATTTGTCTTCAAGAAAAAATATCCCCTAAAAGCCTTATAAAATGAATAAACAGTGTTAGAAATCCTATATGTTGAATGGATGAAGAAAACCCATTTCTTTTGACATGTTTATGAATACTTATGTGTTTATGTACAGGGCTGAGGAAACATGATGTGGCATTCCTTATCACACTGCGACCTACTCTAGCTATCCAGCAAAAATACAACCATGAAATGCCCTTCATTCCACAAGTTGGACTTGTGTATGTCAGAGGCTGTGAAATTGAGGGCATGCTGGATGCAGAGGGCAAGGTCATTGAAGAAGGTAATACCAAAGAATGATTAAATATGAATCAATATGATTGAAGAAAAAATCATATCATCAACCAAGCAAGTCATAACCACAGAAACACTGAGATTTATAACAAGGATTCAAGATGGATGATAAAATCAATTAAGGACTGTAAATATTTTCCGAGTGTAAATCATATATATATTAAAAGTAATAAAAGAAATTTCTGCCTGATTTGTATTAGGCTTCAGATTCAAACTTAGAAATGCTAATGATATTTCTGTCCTATTCATATACAAATTTATTTGTTTACCCTTTAAGCAATGACTTTGACTTTGTAATTGTTGGCCATTTTCCAACATAAGCAACTTTGCTTTTAAAAGTCTATTTTTCTAGAAAGGTTGGACAGATTTTGATTTATTTTACATTATGAGCAATGCCATAGCAAACTTGTATATCATCAGCCACCTAAGCAGTGACTTTAACAGTAAGAGGTAGAAAAGTGTCATGAAATAACATGTCTGTCATTACTTTGTATTTGATTTTAGGACCAGAGCCTCGTCCAGATATACCAGGTGACATGAGGACATTCAGAGTCTTCCTTGATCCTAATCAGTATCAACAGGACATGGCCCGTGCTGTGGATGGAGATGAGGTAAAACTTAGACATTGATTGTCTAATGTTGACACTCCTGCAGTTTCATTTATATCTGTTTTTGAAATAAAACTATTGGACCTGTTGGTTGTTTTTATCCAAGCAACAATGCCATTTAATCATTTGTAGTTTTAAATGTCCTGTTTTTGGTGTCTGGTCATTAGTTGATATAAAAATTGTAAATCTTGATAAGTCTCTGAGAGGAGGCAAAACTTGTTCTTCATTCTGTGATATTACAATTATAATATGTGACACTAACAAGCCATACTTGTTCCAGGATTGAGCTAGTATAGGCTTTATCTATTGGTCAATCCTGTAAGTTGTTTTATCAGTAAAAGATGTTTAAAATATGGTTTAACTGTTACAGGATGTGTATGAAACATTTAATGTGATAATGCGAAGGAAACCCAAGGAGAACAACTTTAAAGCCGTCTTGGAGACAATGCGTGATTTGATGAACACATCCTGTGTTGTTCCAGACTGGCTTCACGACCTTATTCTCGGCTATGGTGAACCGAATGCAGCACATTATTCACAGTGCGTAATCCTTCTGTCACTTAATGTAGGCAATTAGACAAAAATGAACAAGATTGAAAATCTGTCTTTTTGATACAAAAGGTAAACAATTGTAGTAGATTCAGACACTTAAAACATTGCAGTTTTTTTGTTATTTTGAAAATTAACACTTATTGGTCATGAGTCATTCCTTTTATTTCAACAGAATGCCAAATAAGATTACCTCCCTTGATTGGAATGACACATTCTTAAACATAGACCACCTGAGGGCCAGTTTTCCTGACCACAGCGTAGGAGTCTGCACAGATGATGTCAACAAACATGTACCACCATTTAGGTACGGTATAAAGTTTCATTGCTTTTCAAACGATTTTTACTCCTGATTTACAAATTGAAATTTTAAGGACAGTTACTTTATGTAAGCAAAATTAATTGGTATTGAAAACAATACTTGATATATTTTAGATTGCTTTGTTGAATTGGTCTGTCTTCTGTTATACAGTTAATCACTGTCTGGTACTGGTCTTTTATTTATAAGCATATGGATTGGCTTGCTCTTCGAATATATGAAACAAGAAAAATGAAAATCAAGTAAAAACATGTAAATGTAGGTCATCATGCTAATTGTGAGTTTTGCAATAAAGGAACAAATTCAGTTTACAACACATCAATACAAACATGTAACCTTTTTTAGCAAAAGGGTCTGGCAAAATATACCACGGTATCATTAGTGGATTTTCCAACTTAAGTAACTTTAATTTTAAAAGTCTTCTTTTCTAGAAAGGTTGTACATATTTTGACTAAATTTTGCTTAGTGCAATGACATGGAATAACCTTATACATCATCAAACTGTCAATATCATTCATCAAAACATTCTAGATTAGCATTGCTTATAGTTGGGACTCATATTGATGCAAGCAATCACACCAAATGTTGTTTCTTTACTTTGAAAATTTCATTGATGGCCATTTTCAACCAGTGAGTATCTTTCATTTATCATTCATGCAGGTTAAAGTTCCCGCAGGAAGAGGAGACAGGGAAGAGGAAAGCTGATACAGAAGATGCAAAAGTGATGAAAAAGATTATAGTGGAACCACACACCATCCCAAACAGAGGACCTTACCCCTACAATCAACCTAAAAAGTAATACTATATGTTGTATTCAATTTGAAATGAAATAAGACACACAAGTAAACTCTATCAGTGATAGGAGATCCTTTTTATTATGACAGTGGATATTAAGATATTCTGCTTTTTCCCTGTGGTAAATATTTTTACAAGACTTTTAGTTTCTTGCACAGATGTTGCTATATTTTGTATTGAACTAACATTATATTCATTTCCAACATGAAATAAACTGACCATGGTTGACAACAACAACAAAATAATGCAAATCAACAATTGAAAATTCCTTTATTGGTCGATTTCTGTCTAATGTCAAATTTATTTTTGACTAAATTGTCCCTGTAACTTGACAGACAAGAATCTGGTCATTCAAATAATTGTGGCATGAAAAATTAGAATTAAAGACATCAGATATATAAGTGGAATAGGAGTTTGTTTGGCATTAATGATACAAATAGATTTACAGACAGTATGTGAAAACTGTTAGATAGGAGTTTGTTTGGCATTAAAGATACAAATAGATTTACAGACAGTATGTGAAAACTGTTAGATAGGAGTTTGTTTGGCATTAAAGATACAAATAGATTTACAGACAGTATGTGAAAACTGTTGAATAGGAGTTTGTTTGGCATTAAAGATACAAATAGATTTACAGACAGTATGTGAAAACTGTTAGATAGGAGTTTGTTTGGCATTAAAGATACAAATAGATTTACAGACAGTATGTGAAAACTGTTCGATAGGTGTTTGTTTGGCATTAAAGATACAAATAGATTTACAGACAGTATGTGAAAACTGTTCGATAGGTGTTTGTTTGGCATTAAAGATACAAATAGATTTACAGACAGTATGTAAAAACTGTTCGATAGGTGTTTGTTTGGCATTAAAGATACAAATAGATTTACAGACAGTATGTGAAAACTGTTGAATAGGTGTTTGTTTGGCATTAAAGATACAAATAGATTTACAGACAGTATGTGAAAACTGTTAGATAGGTGTTTGTTTGGCATTAAAGATACAAATAGATTTACAGACAGTATGTGAAAACTGTTCGATAGGTGTTTGTTTGGCATTAAAGATACAAATAGATTTACAGACAGTATGTAAAAACTGTTCGATAGGTGTTTGTTTGGCATTAAAGATACAAATAGATTTACAGACAGTATGTGAAAACTGTTAGATAGGTGTTTGTTTGGCATTAAAGATACAAATAGATTTACAGACAGTATGTAAAAACTGTTCGATAGGTGTTTGTTTGGCATTAAAGATACAAATAGATTTACAGACAGTATGTGAAAACCGTAGAATAGGTGTTTGTAACAATTGTATGTTTATGTCTCCAGGAACCAAATTTTGTTCACACCAACCCAGATTGAGGCTGTGCGAGCAGGGATGCAGCCCGGCTTGACAATGGTTGTAGGACCCCCTGGGACTGGTAAAACTGATGTTGCTGTACAGATCATCTCCTGTCTCTATCACAACTTCCCCGACCAGCGTACAATCATTGTCACTCATTCCAATCAGGTAAGGTTTGACAACAATTTTTGTAGACTTCTAGATTTAGAATCATCACAACTTTGTAGACAGTTTTATGTCACAATACAGGCTCATTTAAATGTGATACCAAAGTTAAATATACATTGCAAGAGACTGTTTAAACAAAAATTTATCTCTCAAAAAGAAACAGAATAGAAGATTTAGTAAAGTGTAAAAGTCCTGCACTTGAAACCTTTGAAATTCTTCAAAGTTTTGCAGTTTTGCGCATTTTTCTTTGTCAGAACTCTCTCTCTCTAATCCAGATTGATAACCAACCAGTGAATTCAGTTAAATTGGCAAAGGCAAAGTAGAATATGAGAGTTTAATATACTACTATGTTGATTATTGAAATATTTGTCTGTACATTCTTTGACAGTTTGGTGTATAAGCTATTTGGTTCCATTGCAAACATGGAATCCATGTAATTCAACAGTACAAGTCCCATGCTATTTATGCTTTTTATCAACAGAAATCTTGAGTTCCAATTACATTTGCATTGTGTGTAAAAGTCAACACAGATGTCACCCTGAGATATTGGAGTGAAATATTAATGTTATGACTTCTGTTGACCTTTAGGCTTTGAACCAGCTGTTTGAGAAAATCATGGCCCTTGATATAGATGAACGCCATCTGTTACGTCTTGGTCATGGAGAGGAGGCCTTAGAAACTGAGAAAGATTTCAGTCGGTGTGTAGGTCGATTAATTAACAAAAATTAAGATTTATTTGCACCTTTTTCATTATCTGTGCTAATAAAGAGCACATCTTTATTTAAATCTTGTACATTACAGTTTATCAGGAAGCTTTCTTATCATTGATCAAAAATTAGATTTGATGCTAAAATTTTACTAAAACTTTGAAAAATTGGCAAACTTTTATATCGTAACTTTGAAATACAAGCACTATATACAAACTTGGGCAGGTATAAAAAAACAAATACCATTTTTTGACAAGTATATTCATATGCAGATGGATTCTATTAAGTATCATATTTGTAATTGTACTTGTGATGTGTTAATGTCGGAAATAAAATATTGTTGATAATATCTTGATGGATATCATTGAGAAAAGTTCAAACCTAGTGTTATGTAAAATAATGTACACAAATCTTTGTATTATGTTTTATTTCCCCTTTAAAATGACAATTATTGCTAAATGCTTATGAAAAAGTTACCAAAACTTAACCATCCTCTGTATTGTATATGTTATATATTTCGTAAGGTATGGCCGAGTGAACTATGTGTTAGCACAACGCCTAGAGCTGCTGCAGGAAGTAGGGCGGTTACAGGACAGTCTGGGCGTACCTGGTGACCTTTCCTACACATGTGAAACAGCTTCCTATTTCTTCCTTTACCAGGTAAGTAAACATCTGTATACAAGTCAGTGATGTTAGTTGGTTCTCTAGGAGAGATGTAATCTGAAAAAGAACTAAACAGAATCGGATGACTATTGAGATGTTCTTATGTTTCAGGTTTTAGCAAGGTGGGAGGAATTTCTCAGCAAGCTTCGTCAAATTAAGGTAAGAACCAGGATAGTTACATGTCTTAAATGGAATATGCTTAAAAATCAAAATAAGTAGAGATGATTACTTTAAAAAAAGATACATATTATTTGACAACGGTCAACTCTGAATTTGATATGTTTTCCATATAATATATAATAATAGGTCTTAATGTTTGCTAACCAAACATAACTAAGATTTTACGGAAAAAGAATTGATATTGTTATTATATTTGACAGGATAAGGAGCCAGAAAACATCAAAGATTTGTTCCCGTTTACGGTATTCTTCAGCAACGCCCCACAACCACTTTTCAAGGGGCGCTTCTATGAACAAGATTTAGACATAGCAGAAGGCTGTTTCAGGCATATAAAGAAGATCTTCACACAGATTGAGGTATATTGTAACAGATAGGCTTCTTAGCATTTTATATTGAGCATAGATACATATCTGTATTTTGTGCCTTCAATCATCAACCATTTACCAAACTCTGCTGTTCCATATCATTCAATTACCTTTACATATGTCACTAAAAACATCAAGGCACTGCTGTGCTTCCAAAGGTAGAAACATATACAGAAAAAGGTTTAGTTGTTGGGTTCTGAACAAAAAAAATCTGTATGTTGAGCAATGATTATCCAGATAAGCTCTTCTGATTTTTTGTTACATCTCTTTTTTAGCAATTCCCATGAATGAGATTATGTTGCAGAATGTGACGGAGATATATAATTGATCTCAGATATGTATCAGTATTTAAATAGACTATCTTAATCTTTGTTGTTTAAAGGAGTTCCGAGCATTTGAGTTACTACGCAGTGGTGCTGACAGGGCAAATTACTTGTTAATTAAGGAAGCCAAAATCATCGCCATGACCTGTACACATGCTGCACTTAAACGTCGTGATCTTGTAGCAGCTGGTTTCAAGGTAGCTTTTACAAATTAGTATTATTAACTTTTTGTGATGCAGAAAATTTTTATACCTACTGCAGTTTTGGATAAAACCTCATCAGGTTCAGGTATTATCATAGTGACTGGTATTTAACACATTATACTTTCTCTCTCTTGATAGAACACATATTCCTACACATTGAGCTGCCTTATAGAGCTTTAATTTATCTTTGGCATACTTAACATATGTCTCAGTATTGCTCTAAAACTTTTGCAGAATATTTGATAAGACACACAATTTTTTCCTTTCAGTAAGTAAAATATTTTGAACTAAAGAATATATTTTGTTTCAGTTTGACAATATTTTGATGGAGGAGTCAGCCCAGATTCTTGAGATTGAAACATTTATTCCCCTCCTACTACAGGTAAGTTTGTCTATACTGATCATACAACATTCATTGCCTTCCTGCTACAGGTAAGCTTGTCTATACTGATCATACAACATTCATTGCCTTCCTGCTACAGGTAAGCTTGTCTATACTGATCATACAACATTCATTGCCTTCCTGCTACAGGTAAGCTTGTCTATACTGATCATACAACATTCATTGCCCTCCTGCTACAGGTAAGCTTGTCTATACTGACCATACAACATTCATTGCCTTCCTGCTACAGGTAAGCTTGTCTACACTGACCATACAACATTCATTGCATTCCTCACCCTATTCGTAATGATCTTACTACTGTGGTAAGTTGATATGATTGGTCCAATTAGATATTAAATATACAATATATTTGTTTTGTATCAATTGAAGTATTTCTTCTTTATTTTCAAAATGAGACCAACCTTTTCAACCAATTTATTCATAGCCATTAAAAGAACAGATTTTAGTTTTAAAAAAGCAAGTTTAACACTACCTGATTTTACACATCTGTATGATGATAATACTATAAACCAGTCTTAGAAGTAACAAACTTTTATAAAATCAGTGTGTTTAAAAGTAAACCTTACTAGAATATCTTATATCTTGGTAGAACCCAGAGGACAACATTAACCGTCTGAAGCGCTGGATCATGATTGGAGATCATCATCAGCTGCCACCAGTCATCAAAAACATGGCCTTCCAGAAATTCTCAAACATGGAGCAATCACTCTTCACACGCCTTGTCAGACTGGGGGTGCCCACAGTCGACCTTGATGCTCAGGGTAGAGCTAGGTCAAGGTCAGTTGAAAAATAATTTTATTATTTTGGTAAATCCACTGCAGTGCATGTGTTAAAATTTGCTCTACTCAGTTATTTCGAAACATTTCTTCATGTTGATAATATCAGTTGAATAGATGTTCTTATAACACAACTAGCAGAAGATTTAAATGTGAGATTTTGATGACTACACTGTCACCTTCATCAGACAAATGACCAGCATGATGTGTTGGAGCAAGATGCATGTAGTGTACAAGATGGTATGGAATAGGTCTCAACATCTTGTTATATCAGTGCTATTATGCTTCACACTGGTCATTTGTCTGATGAAGGTGACATTGAACTTATATATTATCCTCTGACAAGTATTTGCCTGATGGGCAATGAATAGCAGAATTCTAAAAAAATTAAAACCTTAGAACACAGAAAAAAGTGATTGTTATCAACCTTACTCATTAAATTGTCGCAATAATGACTTGTTACCACTGGAAAGTGAAGATGTCTACCTACTGGTAATTTTAAGCTGGATGTAATTGTCAAACATGATGGTTTTATTTACAGCATTTCAAGTCTGTATAACTGGAGGTACCGTAAACTAGGGAACCTACCACATGTCTTGGTGAACCCAGAATACCGACTAGCAAATGCAGGATTTGTACATGACTTCCAGCTCATTGACGTCCAGGACTTCAATGGTGTAGGGGAGACACAACCCAACCCATACTTCTTTCAGGTCAGTTCCTAAACATCTCAGAGTTTCTTTACATATATAGCTTGATATGATACTTCCTGTCACACATTACTTGATATGATGCCAACACAATAGTTCTATATCTATTGGTCAGTTATCACTTTGACTAGACCTTGTATTTAGGTCAGTTTCTCGGTCGAGAATAGGATGAATTTTTACACAGGTTCTTTTTTCATGTCTAACTTTGATTTTTGTGTGTTTTGAACTAAACTTTCCCTTGAGGTAATATCTACTTTATTGAATTTTTGGTTTGACTTTTTGTTCGTTTTCCATCTAAGTCGGAAACATAAAAAAATTGTCTCAACATCTGTAGCATGAATTTGTAACTTCATAAAGGAGTTCATTCTTATAACATGTGAATTTGAGTTTCCATTTATTTCTATTTTGAAAAAGTTTACTGAATTAGAATTACTGTACTGCAATTTACAGACATATAACTTTACACTTCATTCATTTTCAATGTAAAATATCTTGATGCCCAACAGAATCTGGCTGAGGCAGAGTATGCTGTGGCACTATTTATGTACATGAGGATGCAGGGCTATCCCGCTGATAAGATTGCCATCCTTACTACGTACAATGGACAGAAACATTTGATACGTGATGTTATCTACCAGCGGTGCGGAAAGAATCCCTTTATTGGACAGCCACACAAGGCAAGTTACCCTGGCATGTCAATTGCAAATTCTGTTGATGAAAACCAAATTTAAGTTGTTTTTTTACCCAAAAATGTTTTTTGTCACCTGTCGGAATATGTTTGTTTATTTTGAGAGTCAATTATTTTGGAGAATACTACCTGGTGTAGTTGATTGTTGATAAATCTTGTGCCAAATATTTTACTGAAAAATAACTTTTTTAGTAGGGATATGCATTTGATGTTTTGTGAAAACAGTAGAACTGTTCCTAAGTTATGTTTGTTTATCTCCCTTTACAGGTGACCACTGTGGACAGATACCAGGGCCAGCAAAATGATTACATTATCCTGTCACTGGTCAGGACCAAGACTGTTGGTCACTTACGGTCAGTCTGCAAGCACTCTTTCATTAATAAGTCTATAGCAATAATTCATCGCCACAATCCATAGGACAAACGCTGGACAACCGTCTTAATCTCTGTATTCAGGACTGCTCAGATTCCTATACCTCTAAACTTATATTTTTTTTATGCAAAATTCAGTTTGATTCATGCCTTTAAAAACTGTTGCTTATCCTGAATATATTGAGCTGTTCAAGGCTTTGGTTTTAAATGTGTAGTGGTAAATGTCTGTAAGAAGACTAAGTCAGTTCCTTGTTTAAAAATAGAATATACCCAGTGCAGATTCAAGCATAGATAAAAAGTAATATATTATTTGATTTGTTTTATATTAAATGAAGAATCGATTTGCCTTTGCACCTGTTTTTTAAATTTTGAAATTGGAGGTAATATTCTAATATTTTTCCTGAGATTAAGGATTATTTGTGAGTGATGAAATACATGTGTATATGTATCCTTTGTTTGCTTCAGAGATGTGAGACGTCTGGTGGTGGCTATGTCTCGAGCTAGGTTGGGCCTGTATGTGTTCGGCCGAGTCAGTCTATTCAGTAACTGTTTTGAATTGACTCCAGCCTTCAATAAGGTAAAATATATCCACTCCTGTACCAAAATTTACTTTGGAGGAAAACATGTTTTAGAAAGACATTGTATCAATATTGTAATATTTTCATTTATTTTGTGGGTGTTCTTAATCCACCAATTCATGTTTCCATGATCTGTTAAAGTTAGAATAAGATTGATGGAGCTATGTTTATCCATTAAATCAGGTGCCCACAAAATAATGTTTGTTTAAAAAGGCAAGAAAATTTAGCCCCATGAAAAAATATTAATGTAAGGATAATAGATGTAATTAAACAAATATTTGTTATATAATGGTCCTAGTCCAAAATCTATCAGAGGTATTGAAATCTAGGCAAAGAATATAAGGCTTCATGCATTTTGGGGAAACATGACATTAATAGATTCATTCAGCCAAATTCTTTTCAGTCCGTCCATACTTCAAATTAGTGAAGGGATTTTATTTGATCATGGATTATCCAGTAAGCACTTTCTTGTTGCTGTTTACTAATTTTTGATTGTTTTAACTTTCAGCTAATGTCACGTCCTCAGAAGTTACAGATCGTTCCTCAAGAGATGTATCCCACCCAGCGTAACGTTAGTGACATATTCTTTTTGTTTAACTAGGAAATGTGTTAAAGATAAAATTGGGATAAACCCTTTTATTATCGGTATCTGGTTGTATTCTTGAATAAAAAAATCTCTTTATATAATATTGATTTGAAAGTCATGTATAAAAAAGGAAAATATTTGAATTATTGCACTTGTGTTATAGTTCAAGATTTTTTAACTGGGACTTATGTATAGGATTGAATGATTATGGCACAATTCAAGTTAATATGAAAAATTAAAAATACCCACTGCAATTTATCAAAACTTATCTTAAGTTACGCACAAATAAAAAGAAATAGCAGTATTATTTGAAACATAACTGTTATAATAAATTGAATGTTTTTATTTTTGTTTTTAGATCACAGAGCCACCAGAGGGCAATGTAATGGTGATGGAAGACATGTCTCACATGGCACAGTTTGTGTTTGACCTCTACAACTCCAGGGTCACCATGATGATGAGTCAGCGTGGCATGTCAGAGGTACATACACAGACAACATATTACTGTGGACCTTATAGAAACACTCTGAATGAAAACTGATTTTATATGAGGATGACAGATTTAAAATCATCATTCTGAATTACCTCTGTTCTTCAAACAAAATTGATATGAAAGTAACCAGAATGATGTTTAGTACAGGTTTTTAGATTTTGGAAATATTAATTTGATATATTTAAATTCTGAAAGCTTGAGGAAACTGCTTGATAGTTCTTAATCTAAATGGTGATATTAAACCAAAGAGCACAAACTGTCTCCTTTCTCAAGACAAATTTTCTAATTGCAAAGTTTAAAGGAATACTTTTTCATACTTTTAAGTATATAGAATTTTTCCCATTTTCACTGAAAATAGAATTAGTCCATACATATTTACTTCAGCTTAATGTTTTCAGGTCAGATTTGATTTAGAATTTTTGGATGTTCTTTTTTATGAACACTTGCTATGATCGTTTGATTTCAGGCTCAATCATTACAGAAACCTCCAAAGAAAAGCTGATGTTCCAGATAGGAGAGTGTCAAATAGGAACAATAAAGCCAAAAGTGTCTGCATCAACATTCCCAAATGTTGACAGTGTAAACAACAAAACATATCAGAGGCATATATCTAGATCATTATTGTATTTTCTGGTATGTCTGTGAGACCACAGCTCAGCAGACAATTTTTAGCATCATTGCTTTATATTTTGTTTGTGACTAGCTGGAACAGTTCTGCTATAAATACAGGCTTCTACTGAATACTAGATTGATGTTGATGGGAAAAGAACTTGGCAATCTGGAAACTTCACTGCTAGAGATTGCTGTTGATTACAGGGAATTGTTAAGTACTAGAAAGTCTGTGTATGTGAGAAAAGGAACAGAATAAAAGGGATTAGGTATCAAATTAGAGTTACATATGAAGTTAAGTAAAGAGGACAGGACAAAGTAAGGATGTGTATAAGGTGTGTGAATGTTAGAGGCTATTGCCCACATCAGTAGAATGAAACTTGAAGTGTGTTTAAGCTGTGACAATGTTAGAGCGTATTTTACACATCAGTAGACGAGGAAAGTGATGTGGGTCAGGATATAATTTCATTGAGTGAAATTCATCTCGCCTTCATCAAGGTGACATCCTGTACTAGGGGATTCATTCATAACAATTATCATATTCATCATCACTTATCACAGAATAAAAAGATGAACAAATAATTTCTATTCTTTTTTCATTTCCATTTATTATCAAATACAATACAAAATTACAGTTCTCAGCATTTCTTCATTATCAAATAGGATATTGTTTACCATGGGGAATACTACCCATTCTGTATTCACCGATTTTGATGAATATGAATATAAATTGCATAATTGCCCTGTTATCCCTTTATCAATGTATATGCTTACTTAAATGTGTAATGTGACCAAACTGAGCTCTGATTGGCTGAAGGTTCCCATAGTTGCTATTGTGATGTAATTCCAGTTTAGATTGTGTATCAGTCTAACGAAATGTTGTTTTCATAAGCAAAAATATATGTTATGGTACAAGAGTAATCTCATATTATTTCCATTCCATATATTCAGTTTACCTCACCAAATGCAAAAATGCCAAGTCTTGTTTTATGAATCTCATTTGAATGAAAATGAATGGAAGATCTTCATGATACCTGGTAATGTGCATGGCCATGGTGTAATCTTCCATATTTCAGAAGCTGAAATCAGGGCCACTTTGTTTTATGGTGTTAATGGTTCGACTGGTTAGACCAGATTTACTGTCTAGTGAATCTTGAAAAAGACTTTCATGGCCTGTATTAAAATATAGAGGTCCTGGATATAATCTAAGGTCTTATGAAGAGAGAATTATCTCTATGCTGTAGTATTAATATACATTTACAAGCAATTTCACTATTTTCAAAGTTCCTTGTAGGTTAGTAATATTGTTCCTTTGTTTCTTACTTAAACCTCTTCAGAAAACGAAATATATTGACAAATTTAGATAAATAGATGATCTTTTAAAATTACATCAGCTAACAAAATCAGCTATTATATGTTAATGGCTAATATTACTTGAATGTACAAATATTACACAGTACAATAATTCTGGGTAAAAGGGACAAGGGCTGGTATGAAACATGACTCTGACTGTATGGCCATGTTTGATATATATATATATATATATAAACTTGACATCAGCTGGGATTATAAGGACAGGGTCCAGTAGTAAAAATGTATCATTATGACATTTGGTCTAAAACTTCACTTTGGCAAGATGAATATTGATACAGTTATCAAACATTTTTGTGCCCTCTATACATACTGCCATGCATTGTTTTTAAATCTATGCATTCAATTTTAAAATACTGCACTGAAATCAATTGACTGCAGGCACAACGCAAAGCTTCATCTCGCATGTAGTGTTGGAAAAACTAGCTATTTGCACATCAGAATCAGCCTGTTAAAACCACTGACCATTAAAAAATCACAGTTATTTGGCAAATTATTTATAAATAAACCATTATATAGATAATGTACACCACACCAAAATAATTGGAATCAATTTACATAACAAATAGCAAATAATGTGACATTAATTATGAACAAGTTTTGACAGTGGTACTAGTCACTTTAGGAGTAACCAAAAGCCGAGAGCTATGGCTATCATAGTGCTGAAGGACATAATGTTGAGAAGGTATGGCTAACAACCCTTAGCAAACATGACTGGAACTATGGCAAACTGAGAGCTCATGGGTAACAAAGTTCAGTCTGCAAAAACTCAGCCATTCAAATATCCATGGGTCAGCAAGAATTGGGAGTTACATAATTTGGGCCTATTTTTACCATCTTACCAAAGCCGTTGTATAGCAGCAGACTAGAATCATTATACTCTATGTTATGTTATTATATGGTTCCAGTTAAAACTAACATTTGGCAAGAACTTCTGAGCAGAAATGACCATGGTCATGTGACCAAACTCCAGACTGGTCAAACTGGGAGATAAGGGTAGAGAAACTTGACAAGAAGACATACGGTGTTCTGTGATCATGTTTGTTTAGCTCCGTGATGACCAAGTACTGGTCAGTAGGGGGAACATACATCTCCTAAATCTAAGTGTAACTGCACACGTGTGTAATTGAGTGGGTTTGGATGACAGATCCGTTTATTAAACTCAAGTAATTTAATGTTAATATCAAGATTATGTGAAACGTGATTCATCAATACGAGAAATTTCAATAATGAAAGTATATACTATTTGGCATACTAAACATTTGATATAAATGAAAGTATATACTATTTGGCACACTAAACATTTGATACAAATGAAAGTATATACTATTTGGCACACTAAACATTTGATACAAATGAAAGTATATACTATTTGGCATACTAAACATTTGATATAGCTTCCTCTTTCCACTTACTGCCCTTTAACCTTTAGTTTTGTGCTAACTTTACTCCAATTTCAATGTTTAGCAAATTGAAAACTTCAATATCAAAAGAAAAACCCTTGAAACACATTAATGATAGCCTGTCTTATGACCTTGGTTACAACTTTCAAATCAACTTTTGAATTGACTTAATAATTTGTGGGAAAACGTTTGTATTGTATAGTTACAAAACTTTTTTTAATATTGATATGTATTCTAGTTGAAATTTGATGTTCAATTCAAGAGCATATATTTATTTCTGGAAAGCTTTCTTCGTGAACAATGTCTAGTCAGTTTCCAAATATATCTTGTCGAATATCAGGGCGTAGGGCTACTTCTTCAATGTGATTACGTATAGCCCACATGGAAATTCCATATTCAACCCTGCAGGCTATAGGAATATAGCATCTGAGTTCCTGAGGTATCGCCCAGTAGAAGGAAGGCAGTCCGCCTTGTAGCATGATTAGAACGCGTGGACCATTCGGGGTCAACACTATTCCAGGTGACCCCGACCCACCTTTTTGCAAGGTTGAACTAATGCATAATCTGTCTTTTTTATTCACAATAGCATACGCTTCGGAAACCTTGTATTCGTTTTCCCCATTGAATTTAAGACTTTCCTGAATATTTGGCTCATTTTCTTGGACCCATATCTGTGCTTGCTGCAATTGTTCATCAGAACTGGACAGGATTGGCACGTGTGGATCGATCGTTCTTTCGTCGTGTTCAGCATGTCCAAAACCAATAACCGCTGCAAGTCTGCCTGGGATGTCATTTGTAGACAAAGGAATGAGAGGTTCAGGGAGATTCTGATCATTCGTGAGATTCAAGGATAGAACAGCGTAGTCGAGATCATAATCATATGCTTCCAGGTATGGACGAAGCCTAAATACTGATCCAGGATTGAAAATCACGACCGTGTCTTCCCGGGCGAGGTTGTCCAAATTCCACATATAGCCATCCATTGTTTTCTCAACTGCAGTGTAAAGAATTATCGCAATCAATTTTGAAATCTGCCATATATTTCACTTCAATTAGGAACAACTAATGGTCAAAAACCATTATAACAGCTTGTTCTCTTGATCATTCTAAAGATTTGATATAAACAGCCGGGTAAAAAAGCGAAAAAAACGTTTTAAGTATTTCAGAAAGATCAGTTTGATACATGGAATTATTAAGGATAGATGGACGGACCATTGCCTTGTCGAAGTAAGATTTCAGCAATACACTCGACGCTGGTGGACTAAAGCTTTATCGACATTTTCTCAAAAGAAACATACCATCAATTCACGTGACTTTTAACTTTATTGATGAACATGTAATTTCAATGTTCTCGTCATAAATATGATCTTTTCTGGTCTTTTACTAAGTTCGTCTTAACTCCATTGTGAAGTTGTGAACTTTTGAGGTTGTTGAACCGACAAAACATCTATGAGTGTTCTTTTGATATGATAGCCACTTACGTATTATTTTGTTGACAAGATGGAATGTGGTCAATACTCTGTTCGCCCCCACTCTAAAGACAGTACAGGTTCCGTAGTCTGACTTTAACATCCCAACTGAACCGCAACAAGATAGCAATACCTTCATGACCGTCTCTGTGAAAGAGTCGTCATAACTCTTCATGAAAACGTTTTTTCCAATATTGGCAGTAGCGTCTGTAAAAGATAGCATTTTTCACTCACATTATTGTTAGGTCACCTAGCCCGAAGGGCTGGGTTTGGTTATGTTGTGGAGAGGCGTCTGTGGTTTGTTGTCTGTCGTCAAGTTTCCAAATTAAACAACTTCTCAATAATAAGAAGGCCTATTATACTATTATTCAGCTGGTAGGTTACTAGGATGCAGCCAGACAAAGTTTGTTAAAGGAAATTACCTTGACCTATATTTAAGATCAAAGTTAAAAATCATCAAATAACTTCTCAACAACTAAAGCTATGAAAGTCAAAGATGTGGAATAATGTATTCCTGAAAACAATAAATACAAGGTGACCGATGCAAGCCTATTTAGCTTCTTGTTCAAAAGATACAAATTTACAAAAAGAAATCGGAGGTTAAGCTGTATGCGATACATTCTCATATCATGAATGACCCTCGTTGAGTCCGAGTTGTAATACAATGAAGCACAACCATCACTGACAGATTAACAAGGATCTTTAACTATGAGGTATGGCTTACTGATATGTTAGATTATGTAAAATATGGCTGTATGAACGTAGGTTTTTTAATTCTTGCCTTGTGGAATAATTGCCGATCTTGTACGCTGTCTGATGCTTAGTCGTGGAAATTTGGGGAACATTTCGTGTTGGCGTGTTATCACTTCGTTCGAGATCGAAACTCCACGAGGTGTTCCTATAATCAAAGAGGAAACAAGGGCATAGCCATCGAGACACCCCGTCCATGTTCACTTGTAAAATGTATACATGTAAAGTGAGCAACATGGAACTGGGAAAGATATCAGCCAATGAGGTCACATCAGCCTTATTACATATGCACAGAATTTGCCGATAATCAAACTTGAACAAGGGTTTAAGGTAACAAGTCTACCAAGCAAGTCTCATCATAATTCATTTATTCCTTCAAAATTATCATGTTCCGAAAACATTTAGTTAGAGTGCAGAAAGATACCAGCCAATCAGGTCACAGCAGTCTCCTAAACTATGCATAGAATTTACGATAATCGAACCTGAACAAGGATTAAGGTTGTAAGTCTACAAAGCAAGTTTCCTAAAAATTCCTTCGTAAGATAATGTGCAAGATTTTCCAGAGAGTGATTAAAGA